GGACGAAGGATTCAGGCGACATCGTCGGCTTACGTATAGCTGACGGGGCCGTTCTTGTCCAGTAAGGCGTCTGCTCGCAGGCCCGCGACGGTTATGGCGGCCGTTGAGTGCCACTGCGCCCCGCCATGTAAGCTGACATCTCTGCTAGGATGGACCCTAAATTCCAAATGCTTACAGGCTGAGAACGCGAGTCTGAGGAGCGAAGACATGTCCAGCGAAATCTGGATGGACACGTTGTACCGCTGCGACCGTTTATATAAAGCTGGCCCCATGAGTCGTGCTGTCGTGAAGAAAGAAGAGCACATCCTCATCTTCCACCACCTACTCCACTCACCATCATCACCGAAACACACCGTCACCATGGCCTCCAACAGCACCCCTTTCCTCCAGCAGCCGCACCTGCACACCAAGGCGGAGCACCGTGCTGCCGTCCTGACGTACCCGGGCAACTTCCGCAATGCCCTCAAGCAGGCTCAGGCCGACCCGAAGAAGACCCTGTTCGGTGTTGCCCACGGCATCGCCAGTGTTGCCGTGACGAAGGTCCTTGCCTCGGCCAAGCCTGACTTCATCTGGATCGACTACGAGCACGCCGTCTTCGACCGCTCCTCGCTTTACGAGTAAATGCCATTGCCCCCAGCATCTCGAGTAAATCTGACCATGTGCCCTCCAGCGCCATTCACGCCGCTCAGCACCACTCAGAGGGCAAGACCCTGGTGGTTGTCCGTGTCGCCAAGGGCGATTCAGTCGGCCTTGCAACGGCCCTGGACGCTGGCGCCTCAGCTATTGTCATGCCTCACACCGAGACGGCCGAGGAAGTCAAGGAGATGATCAAGGAGGTCTTCTACCGTGAGTTGACCCTGACAAAATAGCCCTGCCAAGGTATCATGTCTGACTTGGACACAGCTCCCCTGGGCCAGCGGTCCTTCAGCCCGTGGACTTTCACACCTGGCATCTCGAACCAGTCCATCTACGAGGGCGACGAATGGAACATGAAGAACTCCAACAACCACGTGTGCCTGATCCCCCAGATTGAGAGCGTCAAGGGTCTCAAGAACATTGACGAGATCGCGTCCGTCGAGGGCATCTCGGGCCTCATGTTTGGCCCCGGAGACTTCAGCGCCGATGCTGGCATCAACTTCTCGCTGTCTGCCCCGCCGCCGCAAGAGTTCCTCGAAGCCATGGGCACATTCTTCGCTGGTGCCAAGAGGCACAACCTGCCGGTCTTTGCGTGAGTGACACTTTGTTCTGAGGGGTTTGAATGTTCGCTGACCATGATCAAAGTGGCGCCCAATCTCCCGCGATGATTCCGATGTTGATCCAGCAGGGCTGCTGTGCTCTCGCCGTTGTTTTCGACTACTGGGGTGTTGCGCAGATGGTCCACGATGGCGTCAAGGCTGCCCGGGCGATGGTTGAGGGGCCGGCCGAGGGTGAGAAGGCGTCCAACGGCACGGTGCCGGTGGCCACCGACTCCAACGGGGCGACTAAGACCAACGGAACGACTGAGACGAACGGATCGTCTTGAAGAGCATAGCGAGCGATTTTGACCTTTTGATAGAGCTTGTCAATTTACTTTCGTCTGCACGATTTGGATGGAAGTCCACGGCGTCGAACTTGTTTTCGGAACGAGTATGCCCCCCCCGTGTCTCATGGAGCCAAGCCCGTCGACATGGGATGTCCCATGGTAGGTGGCATGATCGACCATGCTTGCGAGGCGCAGCTGCATTCATTCCATTCCCTCGGTGCCAGCCACGTGTGTTGGAGAGGATGTCCTCGACGATCAGGGGTAACAAGGTATTGACTCTTTCGTGGTCGTCCCCGGAAAACTGGTCATGCAGCCATACAGACCCCTGACCATGCTCATGGCCTGCAGCAACCTGACTCGTGACAAGTTTGTGAACGAATTCTTCTTCAAAGACATTGAAGCCTCTCCCGCAAATATCTACTTCACTGAAGACTCGCCCAGCCGGCATTACCTTGCCACTCGGCCGTCCACTCTCCGCCAAGTCCGCCAATGCTACCTACCGAGGAGATGCCCTCATTTGCCGGACCACGCTTACCAGGCCCACGAATCATGCGGCCACCAATTCAGGCACCGATAGCTTGCGGTCCCCGCACCGGTTCATCTCTAAATTCAGTAGGGTTCGCCGTTGAACGCTCCAACGGGAGCAAGCCGAACAACCCCGGCAACCACCCCTCTGTGCCCTCCCCTCTTTCTCTCCCCGTATTTGCGGGGGAAGACAACAACAAATGGTTCGTACTACCGGCCGCCTAATATTTCGAGTTGGCCGAAAAATATCTACCTGGAGAAACGAGTAACGCGGGGTCATCCCCGGCTTCGGACGCCGTCGGGGGCATCGTCTTCTCTTGGCATCGTTCACGACCCACGATGGACATCATCACCTGCTCCTCATGGCCTAGCTGCACAAGCTAAAGCCGAGCAGGGGAGTCTTTCGGCGGAATGCCCCTCGGGGATTGTAACCTTGGCCGGACGCCTGCCCTTGACTTGCCCGTGGTCGGTCGACTACCCCTGTGACTGGGCCTGTGGCATGACCTCGGCCGCTGGAGAAATCCTGGAGACAGTTACCCCACGGGGGCATTTTAAAGGTACGGTACTGCGTGGTGAGGGGGCGGGAGGCCGGAGATTGCTGAAGATTAGGCTTAGCACGGGCGTGGGTTCGGGGTCGAATGCCCCGAGCGGAACAACCACCCGACGTCATGTCCGGGGCAGATGGTCAAAGTTGACGAGAGGCACTGGACTGGACTGGGGTGCTCTCTTCTGCTTTTGAACTATTTAATCATGCCGTCGCCGTCCTGTACCTCGGCCTCGGTCTCGGTACGGCCCCAGCTTCTCCCGCAGTAGCCTGCACTCCTCCTCTCCTCCCCCGATCCTCCTCCTCTCCTCCGACATGAAGTTCGCAGGCCTCAAGGCCCTCGGCGTGGCCCTCCTCGCAGCCACGTCGACATCGGCCGCCGCCCTCGCCCCCCGCGCCGACGATGACGCCCCCAGGGATCTCGAGAGTCTCTCGATCCTCACAAAGGCCGCCGACTCCCTCGTGGCTCCCGCCCTTGCCAACAAGAACTCGGCCCTCAGCGGCTCCCCTCGCAGTCTGACGCGCCTGGTCCGCCAGATCGTCACGCCCTTTGTGTGGCCCAACTCGACCTACTACCACGACGAGACTCTGCTGCCGCACATTGAGGAGATGCTCGACGTCCTGGTCCAGCGCCAGCACTGCGACGGCACTTACAGCGTCGGCAACCGCCACTCCCCTCCCGATACGGGCTTCCTGATCGAGGACTTTGGCATCATGGTGCGCATCCTCGAGCGTGACGGTCACGAGGCCTCGCAGCCTATTGCGGACACCATTCGCGATATCCTCAGCAAGGCCGGCCCCGGCCTCGCCGCTGGTGGCATCCACACCCCCAATCACCGCTGGAAGATCTGCGGCGCCCTTTCGCGCATCTCAAACATCATCGGCGATGAGTCCCTGCTGGACCGCGTTGACGAGTGGCTGGCCGAGGGCATCGACATTGACGTCGACGGCATCTACTCGGAGCGCAGCCCCAACTACTACTCGGCCGTCTCCAACCCCTCCCTGCTTACTGTGGCTCACGAGCTCAACAAAACCGAGCTCATCGAGCATGTGCGCAAGAACCTCGAGCTGACCATTGAGCACGCCGAGCCCAATGGCGAGGTCGAGACCGTCATGTCCCGCCGCCAGGACCAGACCCAGGCCCAGCCCGACAACATCCAGGCCTTCTACGTGCAGTTCCGCGAGCTTGCCCTTCGTGATAAGAACGGTCGCTTTGCTGCCATGGCCCGTCTTCTCGAGGAGAGGTACGGCAGCCGTCTTGGTGACTACCTCGCGCCCCTCATTGAGCGCCCCGAACTTGCTGCCCTCCTGCCCGAGCCCGAGACTCCCTGGGCCGACTACAAGAAGCACTACGCCAAGGTCGGTCTCTTCCGCGAGCGCCGCGGCAAGCTCACCGCTGCTGCGTTTGGCGGTTCCGACTGGTATGCCAATGGCGAGCAGACGGCCTTCTACAACCGCTTCGCCTCGGGTCTCTCTACCAACCCGACCCTCTTCCGCGCGTGGAACGGCAAGCTGGCGCTGGACGGTGTCCGTCTCGTCCCCCAGTTCTTCACCATGGGCCACTTCCGCTCCAACGGCCTCTCCGTTTCCGACGGTGGCGTTGTCACCCTTGGAAGTGAGATGGAGGTCCCCTACTACCTTCCCATGCCCGCCGACCAGCGCGACGCCAACGGCGAGTACGCCCTGGGCCGCTCCGTTGCCGATGGCCGCTTCTACGCCGCTCTGGACTTTGCCAACCGTCCCACCAGCATGCGCCGCCTCAAGACGGACGTTGTCATCAAGCCGACCGATGCTGGCTATGACCTCGAGTTTGAGGTGTCGGGCGAGCGCGATGTCGAGGTGACGATTGAGCTGACGTTCCGCGAGGGCGGCGCGTTTGGCGGCGCGATGAAGCAGCTGACTGACACCAACGGTGTCAAGACCTTCCACCTCGTTGAGGGCGAGGGTTCCTACAGCCTGGGTGAAGATACCATTACCTTTGGACCCGGCAACGGTGAGGGCCTGGTGTCGAATGATGCTGGCGAGCAGTACAGCTGGCACGCGGGTTCGCTCGTCCTCCGCGGCCACAAGGTGTTTGTCACGGGCGTCGCGCCTTTCCAGTACACCCTCAACCTGGGTTTCCAGTGAGAAAATGCTGTAGATGATGAATAATTGAATAATGAGAGATTTGAAGCCGTCCTGACCGTCGTGCTGGTGCTGCTATGAAGTGCTGCAAAAGAGGAGGGGGGCTGAACAAACCAGCTTTCCGGCCCTCACTTGGGAACTGGCCCAGAGTTCGACCACCATGGGGGCACATCGGTCCAACCTACAACACTGGACCTGTCTGTTGCTTTGCTGCTTCGATTGACGATGAAACTCCTGCATTAACAGTGGAATGCTGTCCAAAAACAAAAAGATGATTCTGTGCTCAGGTCCGTGCCGGGGTCGAACCGACGACCTTCAGGAGGGAAGATGAAGATATCCTCAAAACCTGACGTGATAGCCACTACACCAACGGACCTTTTCATTGGATGTGGTTCTGTCGCCCGATCGTGGGTCCCATAATCCCTACCTGCGAGGTGGTACGTCCGCTGAGCAACCAACCGGCACGTAAGAAGCGAACGTGACAGTCGCCTCCAATCTGTCAAGCTACATTTTTTATCATAGATAGTTCAGTGGCAGCCTCGTTATCGAATAGCGGTGTGCTAAACGAAATGCAGATGCAAGGCGGGAGGGAGCCCAACGACCCAAGCCAGACGTCCGAAGCACGGCCACATAATTGATTGCCACGCATCAAAATCGCGCGAGGTCCAATGAGACTGGCCAGGCTGCAATGACAATCACTGAGTTTCTCGGCGAGGCCGACCACGAAATCGGGGTGACTGTGGCAACGTTGCTCGTTCTGGAATAAGAACCTACCCAGTCGAGCTCTCCCACCGCACGCTTCTTCATGATCCGCGCACCTCGACACGATCCCATTCGCCTCACTTCTTCCCATCCACCATTCACAACTTGCCTAACCATCAATGGCCATGTAGCTGCAGGGCCAGCTGGTCGTCAGCTCTAGGCAACGGCCGCGTAATAACTTGCATGTAGACGAGGCTGTCACCAAACCGACGTCTATTAAGTTGATGGAGGCCGCCAGCTGTACGAGTCGTCTGTTGACGCAGATCTGCCCGTTCGGTTGGAATCGCTCGACACATGGCTGACATCGCACGGACCCCTTCTCTCGAAAATTACGGAGAGAAGCAGGCTGCTGATGCGGTCGTATCAATGGTTCCATCAGTCGACGACGAAACTCTCAGCGACCGCGACGTTCCCCCAAATGATTCGGATACAGACGTCTCGGACCAACGACGGCTTGTGCCCGACAATAGCGACGACCTACCTCCGGTGACATTCAGGCCCATAGTCCTCCGCCCGTGGATGTTGGCCCTCTGCCTTGTCTTCTTACTTGCCTGCCTCGTCCTCCTCGCTGTCGCCCTGTACGTCTCCGAATGGGAAGTCGAGAACTTCTGGACAAACGCTTTCCTCACCATCCTCCCCTACATTCTCGGCACGACATCTGCCGTTTGGGTGCAAAGCATTGTCACCAATCTCTCCAGGATGACGCCATTTCTTCTTTGCGCCTCGAAGGATGGCGCGCTCGCGACTCATAGCATCTTTCAGGAGTGCTTCCCAGTGCCTAGCATGTGGGACGCATGGCGATGCAAATGCTGGTTCCTCGTCCTGTCTCACCTCATCTCGTGGCTCACCGCCTTCCTCGTAGCCCTCAAGGCATCGCTCTTGGGTGCGGATCGCGAGACTGGGGAGTTCTGGATAGTCAGCTGGGCGGCCCAGGTGCTTCTGGGGATCTATGCTGCCGCCTCACTCTACATCATTGGCGTCGCCTGCTACCTCCACGAGCGGGATACCGGGCTTAGGGAAGACTGGGACCCAGTCAACATTGCCGACCACATGGCGCAGTTTCGTCATTCCGACTTTCTTCACCTCTTCGCTGGCACAGGGGGCGTCGAGCGTGATTCCATGATAGCGGACCCTATGTTGTCGACTCTCAAGCTCAAATTGGGTTACTGGAGGCTTGGGGAGTGCGGCGAGCGATGGTATGGGTTCGGCTTTGCTCAAGGAAGTAAGAAACCCCGTCGAAACATTTGCTCATGAAGTTAAGCTAACATTGATCTTCAGATGAAGAAGCTGACGAGCTGCTCAAGCGAAGTCGAGACGCGGACCGCGACAGATCTCTCAAGTGTTGGTCTCGGCGCCGAACAAATTGCATTGAGCCACATGCTGACGTATTGTGAAGTCTCCAAAGCAGAACTAGAACGAGTGGCCAACAAATCTGTCTACTCCTTCGTGAACCCCAAATCGTTCGATTGTCAACTAGCGTTTTGGACCTCGGTTGTTCTATCAAGCGGGTACATTGCGATGCTGTTCCTCGGCCGGACCCGCGACAACACGTTCATCGTCCCGATCCCAGTGGGCTGGGGCGTGGTACTATTCCAGCTCATCCCGATTCAGATGTTCGGCATGTTTGTGTCGTTTTGGAGCGACGCACGAATCTTTGCAGCCACGACGCAACCATTCGTCGGCATGCGCGAGCCCGGCGGTCGCCCGGCGCAGGATACCATTCTCCTCGACTACAACTGCCTCTCGAGTGTTGAGCAGATTATGTTAGCTGTGAAGAACCAGCATTGGAAAGTGGCATTCGCAGTGGTGGCGAGCGCGATGCATCGGCTCCTCCCAAACCTCGCAGGCCCGAGCCTGATGATAAGCCAGTCCGATAGCAAGAAGACTATCGTCGAACTGAATGTCCCGCTGGTGGCATTTGTGAGCGCCTGGCTGGTGGTGGAGGTGGTTTTGATTCCCTGGGCTACGCTGACCGGGGTTGAGACGAGATATCTCCCGAGAGATTATCTCTGCATCGGAGACCTTGTTTCATGGATGTGTACCAGCAATGTATTCGAGGTCGGGGCATTGAGTGATTCTCACGACGATGCTTTGCACGTTCCTGTTGAGACCCAACCCTACCAGAGTCAAAAAGCAGACATGGAGGCCCGGTTGCGGCTGTCCAGGCAGCACTTCCGATTCGGAGTGGTCCCGACAAGAGGTAGTCCAGGACAGTACATGATTGGTCTCGGAGTCGCCAACTCAGATGAACCTGAACTTGCCGAAGACCAGCAGCTGTCTCTCCTTGGTGCTAAAGGATTCGTTATGGTCACGGGTGCTGAGGGCACGGTGGACGACGTGGTGGCCGCAAGGGTGATCCGAGCACAGGGCGCCCAAGATGAAGAAGAAGAGACCGATGAACAACAGCCTGTGGACGAGACAAGAGATACTGGAGTGACGACCTGGGGCGTGTCAGGAGTCGAATTCATCGCGCATGGGGTCAACATCGTTGGGAAAGGAGCACGTGGGCTTTTCGAAATTGTAGGGTTCTAGGTGCACGAGCTGTACAAACAAGACTGGATGTATGTTGGTCGACGATGATGTTTTGGAATTGGCTATCTTTGTTTGGGGTTATGGAACCAACGGAATTGGCTGTCACCGTCTGAAAATCAGTCCTTTGATTCAAGATCGTGTCTATCAACTCGGAATACAAGTGCTATTTCCCGCCGGGAGAGAGGGGCCATCTGCTCGACATGCACTAACATACGTGGCAGACACTATCACAATCTCGCGATATCATCAGTCTCCATCCACTATAACTCCCCTTTCACCACCGACACAAACAACCGCCGGATTCATCCTCACTTTCCAGCCACCACCTCACATCCTCACAATCCCACCCCTTCGTCCATATACCCGACGGATCTCCCCTTCCTCAACCTCACTCACCAACGGAACCAACCGCTGCTCCCGCGGCCCGGCGGTGCCGAACCGGGAGAATACAGCGCGCAACCCCTGTCACCAGCCGCAGCCCCCCTTTTCCACTCCCGTCCACCTCAGCTTCCTCTCGGCTCGGGTGCCCCTCCTGAGCCACAGCATCGATGCCGCACCCGGTCGATGGCGTCTTCGATCTATCGCCAGCGATCGGCGCAAATCCCTCAAAAAAAAAACCACCGCCAAACAAGCACCAGCAAACCCGGCCCACCCAGCCGCGCACATGTCGGACCCCTGGACCAAGCCATTCTCCCTCCCGGAGCCTATCGCATTTTGAATCAGCACCCGTCTCCCGCTGACGTGCTCGGAGCCTCACTCCCCCTCCTCCTGTACGTAAACACCCCTCCAAAAGTGATGACTCTGCGACTCTCCGTTGCGACCACACCGCATTGCGCCGGACTCCCTCGGGGACTAACGGTATATTGACCTGCCCCCTTTGTTGCTACCCCTGCCCTCGATCTTGATAAGCACTTGAAAGAAGCCGCCGATGGCAGGCGCAGACCCGCGATGGTGGGGGATAATAGACCCGAACATTGCCCCGCCACCTTCATCTACTGCCCCATCCGTGATGCCCTCCCCGAACCATCACCAAGCGCAAACCTAACAAATCTCTGCTTCTTCCCTTCTCCCACTTCCTCCTCTCTCTCCTTCTCATCATCATCCTCAGCTTCAGTCCACCATGCCCCCCGTCGCCCGCGCCGCAGCGCCCCTCGCGCAAGTGATTCCCCCCCTCATCCTCGGCACCGCAACCTTCAACACCCAATACCACCCCTCCCCCGACCTGAACCTCTCCCTCCCCATCCTCGCCCGCGCCCTCCACCTCGGCGTCGCAGCTCTCGACACATCGCCCTATTACGGCCCCTCGGAACGGATTCTCGGCCAAGCCCTCCGCGCTCTTCGCCCCGACCGCGCAGACCTCTTCCTCATCACAAAAGCTGGCCGCATCGGCCCCTCCGTGTTCGACTACTCCCCCGCCCATATCGAGCACTCGATCCGCCGCTCCCTCGCCCGCCTCTCAACACCCTATCTCGACCTCGTCCACTGCCACGACGTCGAGTTCGTCTCCCCCTCCGAAGTCCTCGCCGCCGTCCGCGAGCTCCGCCGTCTTCGCGACCGCGAGGGCCTTATTCGTTATGTCGGCATCTCAGGCTACCCACTCCCCGTCCTCGCCGACCTAGCCGAGCTTATCCTTTCTGAGACCGGCGAACCTATCGACGCCGTCCAGTCCTACTCGCACTTTTGCGTCCAGAACGATGCCCTAGGCGCCTCCGACCTCCTCGATCGCTTCCAGCGCGCCGGTGTCTCCGTCGTTACAAACGCCAGCATGCTGAGCATGGGTCTACTCACCACCCGCGGCGCTGACGCCGGTCCCCAGGCGTCCTGGCACCCTGCCCCGCGACCTCTTCGAAGGAAGTGCACCGAGATTGGCGCATTTGCGCGCGATGATGGCGAGAAGCTCGAGGATCTGTCTCTGCGTTGGGCTATGGGTACATGGGCAACTCGCGGCGCATCTCTTGGCACCAGCGCCGGCATGGATGTTCGCGCATCCCGCGCCGCCGCCGACACGAATAATGTCACAAGACCGAGGATGGGCGTGAGCGTCATGGGTGTCACAAATGCCGCAGAGCTCGACGAGACCTG